CTTCTCTTCTCTTCTCTTCTCTTCTCTTCTCTTCTCTTCTCTTCTCTTCTCTTCTCTTCTCTTCTTCTCTTCTCTACTCTACTCTGGGAAAATTATCTTTTCAACAAGATACTTCACTCATCTTTTTGCTTCCTCCTTAACCACCATGGTATCTTTTGGTAGCACTCAATCATGGCTTAACGGTGAAATGGTGAAAAAGTGGCAGATTTTTCAATTGACAAATATTTATGATAAGGATGCAATTTTATTTTTAATTAGCCCAACTGTTAGGGACACTTGTAAAGTGAGAAACGAAGCTCAGCATTTTCACACCAGATGTAGCTTCCGAAACTCAAGTTTAGCTCTGTGGCGTCAAATGAATGGGCCGTTGGAGAAATCCAATTAAACAACAGACAACAGACAAATAAACATTTTTGTTTCATGGGGAACTTCAAACGGAGTAAATACAAACAGGTTGGTTTTTGGGGGGGCGGGGAGGGGGAAATTGAGAGTACTTCAATGAAACAGAAGGCTTCTATAGAACAAGTAATTATGAATGAAAGAATTCATAATGACGGGCTTCAGATTGGATGAACCATAGTTTACTTAGGAATGGTTTAGTGTATAAATCAATGCTGGCCAGTGGCTGATATGTTGATAAACATTCCCAATAGGTGCATCCCCCCCGCCCCCCCATTTCATGCAAAAAGGGTTTCCAGTCAGGTATACATTCCTAGACTTTGTGGTTTTCAAGATCAGGGGGGAAATGGTATTAGAAAACAGTAAGCTGCTTTTGTATTTTTAGAGTAAGAGACAATTTTGTAACTGTATTTGTATTTGCTGCAAAGGAAATTGGAACCTGCGAACCTACCTCCTTTCCTTTCCTTTCCTTTCCTTTCCTTTCCTTTCCTTTCCTTTCCTTTCCTTTCCTTTCCTTTCCTTTCCTTTCTTTTCCTTTCCTTTCCTTTCCTTCCATTTCCATTTCCATTCTTATACTTATTTCTTTGCCTCTTCTCTTCTCTTCTCTTCTCCTCCCCTCCCCTCCTTCTTCCCTTCCCTTCTTTCTTCTCTCTTTCCTTCACTCCCTTTCCTTTCCTTTCCTTTCCTTTCCTTTCCTTTCCTTTCCTTTCCTTTCCTTTCCTTTCCTTCTTTCCTTCCCTTTCCTTTCCTTTCCTTTCCTTTCCCTTTCCCTTTCCCTTCCTTTCCCTTTCCCTTTCCCCTATCCCTCCCTTCCTTCCTTCCGCAATGATTAGAATGCAGTATTGCAGGCTAATTCTGCCCACAGTCTGGAGTTTGATCCTGACTGGCTCAAGGTTGACTCAACCTTCCATCCTTCTCAAGTGGGTAAAATGAGAACCCAGATTGTAGGGGACAAAAGGCTGACTCTGTAAACCGCTTGGAGAGGGCTGTAAAAGCACTGTGAAACGGTATATAAGTCTAAGTGCTACTGATGATTAGTTGCGGTGGGGCAGTGGTTAGAACGCAGTATTGCAGCTAATTCTGCCGACTCCCAGCAGTTCCATCCTGACCGGTTCAAGGTTGACTCAGCCTTCCATCCTCCTGAGGTCGGTAAAATGAGGACCCAGATTGTTGGGGGCAAGATGCTGACTCTGTAAACCACTTAGAGCAGGGATCACCAAACCTTTGGACCTCAGGGACCACTAAATTCATAATTTTAAATTCCGTGGACCACTAATATAATCTGCCTAATGACCGGCTGGATGGGGGTGGCTAGGTGGTCATGTGACTGAGGTGGTGTGACCAACTCAATCTCACTCACGTCAAGGGGCGCCTTGCCGGCCTCTACTCACCCCTCCCGTCCCAGCCACTGCTCGTCTCCTCGCCTGAGCTCCTTAGGGCCCCAAAAGGAAGCAGTTGTTGAAGCTAAGCAGCCACCACAAGAAAGAGTTGGCAAAAGAGCTCATTCAGATTGGATCTGGCCGAGAAGGAGGCTCAGCAGAAGCACCTCACTGAGGACTAGGAGCATAGGCTTTCCAAGCAGAAGGAAGACCTGCAGGAGTGCAAGGCCAGGTACCGGCGCCTGGAGGCTCAGCAGGCTGAGATGGTCAGCCAGTTCCAGGCCATGATGCTGTCCCACTGGAACGAGGCCCTCCGGCTCTTTGCCACCAGCGGTGCTTCCCTCCAGCCTTCGCCCAAAGCCCCACACCAGGAGGCTGAAGCAGATCCCAAGTCAAAATTTCTGCCCCCCTCCGACCCACACAAAAAGACCCCGAAGGGGGAGACTCTCTGCAACAACACAAATGTTCATTGCATGTATCCCGCCCAAGGGCCGTAGTTTGAGGACCCCTGATTTAGAATATAAAAAATGCAAATAATTTTTCTGCGGACTACCAAAATTTTCTCGCGGACCACCAGTTGGTGACCTCTGACTTAGAGAGGGCGGTAAAGCACTGTGAAGCAGTATATAAGTCTAAGTGCTATTGCTATTAGTAAGTTAACAACTCGCACTGATTCACGTAGGAACTGCCTGTCAGACCTGGTTCGTTGGGGGGTGCTACTTGGAACCCATTGTCGCTAGAAAGGCCATAAAATGGGCCAAAGCTCACTGAACAGACTGTCTCACTCCCTTAACAACATAAATTTTGGGCCGGATTGTGGTTGTAAGTCGAGGACTAACTACAAATAAAATTTAGAAAACCGTATTCCCACGGACGAAATGATACCTGCTCGGCAGAATTTCTCCATGAGCTCGTGTCGAACGGCCTTCTCCAAATTGAAGTAGTTATGGTCCTCTTCGGGTTCGTTGACGAAGAAAGGGATGTGCTGGAAGACCACAGCATGGCGGCACTGCTTTTTCTCCGCCACGGCCAGCTGCTGCTCGAGCCACGCGTCCTGCGCCGCCTTTAATTCTGAGCACTGAGAAGCGTCGAAGTACAGCTGGGAATTCAGCACGAGAAAGAAGACGCCGCCGACCCAAAAGCTGAAGTAATCATCGCCCCACTGCTGGCAATAACTGCGGATGGTTTCCGGCGTGGGCGTGTTCCCCAAGTCATGATTGCCGCTGACGAAAACCAGAGGGATGTCGCTTCTAAGGTCCTTCAGGACATTTCTTAGATCCCGGATTTGGGCCTCTCGCCATTCTGTCCCTGCAAAACAAGAAGAGCGAAGTGTTAAGGAGATATTAAGTTGCAGGATGTTGGGAAATGCTCGACCAGGCAGGGAGGGAGTCTCAAGTGAGGAATTAGCCTAGAATCGTTGCGTAGCCGCAAGAGAGCCAGAACTGGCCCTCCCTAAACTCCATAGAGCCTCATCTCTCTGCTTCCAAGAGAAGGCAAGCAATCTGAGGAGCTGACACAAAGAAGAAGGAGTCAACCAGGGGTGAAATCAAGCAGGTTCTGATAGGTTCTGGAGAACCGGTAGCGGAAATTTTGAGTAGTTTGGAGAACTGGTAGCGGAAATTTTGAGTAGTTCGGAGAACCAGCAAATACCACCTCTGGCTGGCCCCAGATTGGGGTGGGAATGGAGATTTTGCAGTATCCTTCCTCTGCCACGCCCACCAAGCCACACCCACAGAACTGGTAATAAAAAAAATTGAATTTCACCACTGGAGTCAACCTATTCTCCAAAGTACCTGAAGGTGAGACAAGTAGTAACAGATGGAAACTAATCAAGGAGAGAAGCAACCTAAAAGATAGTTTGGTTTGGAGGAAGAGAGTCCGAATGGCTCCAGCCTTGAAGTTCTCAGTGTATCTTTTTCATGATGCAAGGAGTTTTCTTGAGTTGGGTAAGACACCTGTCTAGAGTGAGGAACAATAAAGGAGACTCCTTAGGAGAACCTCAGGGTGTCTTTTCTTGGTGTTTGGATCCTTATATGTCTACTTTAATGAAAAGGAGGACCGGGGTGTTGCAATATCTAAGAGGGTTACCCCAAAGAAGAGGGAGTCAACCTATTCTCGAAAGCACTTGAAGGCAGGACAAGAAGCAATGGATGGAAACTAATCCAAGGAGAGAAGCAACATAGGACTAAGGAGAAATTTCCTGACGGTGAGAACCATCAATCGGTAGAATGACTTGCCTCCAGAAGTTGTGGGTGCTCCATCACTGGAGGTTTTCAAGAAGAGATTGGACAACCAAGTCTGAAATGATGGAGGGTTTCCTGCTTGAGGATGGGGCTGTACTAGAAGACCTCCAAGGTTTCCCCCCCCCCCCAACTCTGTTATTCTGACTATTGGAAAAAGACAGTCCCTCAGGTGTGGCCCAAATATTATACAGAAGATATCATGCAAGAGGTTGTCAAGATCTATTCTCTGCAGGACACAGAAGAATGGATTTAAGACCGGGGTCTCCAACCTTGCCAACTTTAAGACTTGTCCCAGAATTCCAGCTTTGCTGGTTGAAGAATTCTGGGAGTTGAAGTCCACAAGTCTTAAAGTTGCCAAAGTTAGAGACCCCTGATTTAAGCAAAAGACCACTTTTTCCCCCAACCGTGGCAACTTTAAGCATCCTGGCTAGGAATTCTGGGAGTTGAAGTCCACACATCTTAAAAGTTGGCCAAGGTTGAAAAATACTGACTTAGTGTAAGAGCTATCCAAGGATGGGGCCAATGATTCTGTCTCTCTTCATTGGGTATATTCAAGCAGAGGTCTCCGATACTTTAACTAAGGGTTGGTTTCCATGGCTTAAATACCCCTCCCAACTCTATAATTCCACGATTTATTTATTTTTATTTTAGTTTTTTTGCAAGAATTTCCACTGACTCGGTCTGCCTCCATCTTTCAATGCCTGCCATTCCCGTTTTTTACAAAGCCCTCGGATTGTAAAAGCCAGACTTGAAAAAAATGCAATTATCTGAAAAACGGTACAATTCCACAAACAGTGTTTTTTTTAAAAAAACAACAACAACCAACCACTGTCCAAGTGAATCATAAGTGTCTACTACTTAATGGCCTTAAAGCGGAATGCCAATACTTCTGGCTGTAAAATGTGTTTGATCTGCTGTCAAAATCATTTGTTTCATCTGACATGTCTAGATTTTATAGGAGCTTCAGAAGAGGTGCCAGAAATAAGTCGCAGGGATCCCAGATCAGCTTTTCTGGCTGTAAATTATCAATTAACATGCTGATGGCTCAATGGTGGCTAATAAAATGTTGAGGTCAGACATGGAGAACTTGAGGGTGGAAGGGTAGGGATTTCAATCAAGATCTCCTCAAAGAAATCTCTTATCTATTTATAAGATTTTTTTTAAAAAAATCTGCCCTAATTAATTTATAAGCAACTTAAGGTGGCAAACATATTGCTATTTGAGTGTGAAAATATGTGCCTGAATGAATCTAAAACAGCTGCCTTATTAATCTGTCAGTTTTATTAAATAACAAAGATCCTGGGCTCAAATGGCCGGCGCAGTGGTTAGAATGCAGTATTGCAGGCCGACTCGGCATTCCCACTGCCAGGAGTTCGATCCTGACCGGTTCAAGGTTGACTCAGCCTTCCATCTGTCAACTCGCAAAGCATCCCTGGCCTGCTCTTGAGTTGCCATAGGCAAGGGGGATGGGAAAACGACGAAGCAGCACGGCAGCCAAAAACAAAAGCACATTCCAGACATATCTCTCTCAAGGCTGTCTCCCAGGGTTACCCACAGCAGCCGGAAGGGAGTGATCTCTACAACCCACAAAATTGCTCCGTTGGCGAATGTGACTGATGACACACCCTGGGGGAGGGGGGAAACAGGGTCAAGTCTGAGCCGTAAATTACGTGGGGTCAGAGTTGGCTTCACTTGAAAGGTGCCGAACATGAAGCTCCTAATAAATAACCAGATTTCTTTTGAAGCTTGGCTCGAGGCTCATGATTTAATTAGGGCATCCGTCGGAACCCTGACACCATCCTTCCAAAGTGGGTAAAATGAGGACCCAGATTGTTGGGGGCAACAGGCTGACTCCGTAAACCGCTTAGAGAGGGCTGTAAAGCGGTATGTAAGTCTAAGGGCTATTGCTGTTTTCCCCATAACAACAACCCTGTGAGGTAGGTTGGATTAAGAGAGAAGGATTCTTTTCCACATACCATTAGACTTCCAGACACAAAGAGGCCACATTGCTTGATTTGAACCTGTTCATTTCCACTTCTGGAATTCTTTCCCCAGTTGGTACCCCACTGCAGGTAATCCTCAATTTATGATCACAATTGAGGCCAGCATTTCTGCTGCCAAGTGAGACGACTTGTTAAGTGAGTTTTGCCCCATTTTATGACTTTTCTTGTGGATCACTGCAGTTGTTCAGTTAGTGACACAGTTGTTAAGTGAATCTGGCTTCCCCACCGACTTGGCTTGTCCAAAGGTTGCAAAAGGCCATCACAGGACCATGGGACACTGCGACCGTCGTAAAAATGAGTCAGTTGCGAAGCGCCTGAATTTTGACCACGTGATCCTGAGCATGCTGCAAACGGTCGTAAGTGTGAAGAACGGCTGTAAGTCACTCTTTTCAGTGCTGTTGTAACTTTGAACGGTCACTAAACGAATGAATTTGATACACTATAAACAAAGATTGTAAGTCAAGGACTCCCTGCATTTGTCTCATCGTTTTTTTAAAGCATCAACTCATTTTATTTTTACAGCAAAATAATTCATTTCAACAATGTATACGGCCTCCTACCTCCTTCCTACAACTTAGCCAGCAACATATTAATGGAAAACCAACCAGCCAAATCAAAAGGAAAAGGTTAAGATGTTTTTCAGAAAAAATAAATATGAAGTCTTACACTTAGGCAAGAAACACCAAAAGTACACATATAGTAGACTGGGTGAAACCAGGCTTAATGGCAGTAACTGTGAGAGGGATCTTGGAGTCTTAGCGGACAACCAGCTAAATATGAGCTAACACTTATGCAGCGGCAGCCAAAAAAGCCAACACAATTCTAAATTGCATTAATAGAGGGATACAATCAAGATCAAGGGAGATACTGATACCACTCTGTAAAGCAGGGATGAAATCCAGCAGGTTCTGGAGAACCAGTAGCGGAAAGTTTGAGTAGGTCAGAGAACCGGCAAATACCACCTCTGGCTGACCCCAGAGTGGGGTGGGAATGGAGATTTGGCAGTATCCTTCCACGCCCACTAAGCCACACCACGCCCACCAAGCCACACCCACAGAACCGGTAGTAAAAAAAAATGGATTTCACCACTGCTGTAAAGCCTTAGTAAGACCACGCCTAGAGTACTGCATCCAGTTTTGGACACCACACTATAAAAAAGATGTTGAGACTCTAGAAAAAGTGCAGAGAAGAGCACCCAAGATGATTAGAGGACTGGAGGCTAAAACATACGAAGAACGGTTGCATGGCTAGTCTAGTGAAGAGAAGGACCAGGGGAGACATGAGAGCAGTCTTCCAATATTTGAGGCGCTGCCCCAGAGAGGAGGAAGGGGGTCAAGCTGTTTTCCAAAGCACCTGAAGGCCAGACAAGGAACAATGGGTGGAAACTGAACAAGGAGAGTGTCAGGTTTCAGTGTCGTCTCAAATAAATTGCATTTCCAAACAAATAGTCTTTGATGAAATCTTTCATTTATTAAGCACGACAATCTGTTCCCGACTACGTCATAGCCAACACTGACTTCCTGACCCCAAACCTTCCCTTTCCATTCCCCAAGTCTCTGTGTCTCATTGGCCATCTTCCAAATCACTCTCCCCATATCTACTACTTCAGCTCCCAGGAATGTCCCCCCTCCCATCCCATCTCCTAGGGGATATTATCTTCAGGGAAAATAAGTAGGTGAAAAGTCAAGCGTCCTCTTGCCAGCTGCCCCCTCTTCTCCTCCTTATGTCAGCACTGGAACGAATGTAGTTTGGAGGGCTGACAGAGAGATTCAACCTGGAAATAAGGAGGAACTTTCTGACAGTGAGAACGATCAACCCATGGAACAGAAGTTGCCTTCAGAAGTTGTGGGAGCTTCATCACTGGAGGCTGTCAAAAAGAGACTGGACTGCCATTTGTCTGAAATGGTGTAGGGTCTCCTGCTTGGGCAGGGGGTTGGACTAGATGACCTACAGCCGTGATGGCTAACCTATAGCATGCGTGCTGGAAGTGGCACACAGAGCCATCTCTCCGGGCACACAAGCCATCGCCCTTTCTTCTTCCAGGTTCCAGCGTGCCGGCCAG